GTGGTACCTTCTACTGATCTTTTCGCGAATCCAATTAAAGATGTTGATTTTTAAGAAGAAAAAGATCCTGTGTGGAATTTTTTTTCGTGAAACAATGAACAGGTGTTAACGAAGGCAAGTTATTTTTAGATATAATTCAATTACTCTCAATGAATTAGGAAGAGCCAGTTTGTCAAATTCGTAGAATTGTTAATAGTTTTATAAAATATTTTTAAATACTTAAAATACTCATCCAAGCTTCTAATTCTATAAGCTTTCTATTCTAGCCAATTATTAGCTTCGACTAATGAAAAGCAATACGTATTCTAATCTCTCCTAATACGAATTGTATTTATTTATTTCCTTTCGTATCATTATACTTTTACATTATTTATCGAAATATAAATATCCAATCTTTTCTAATTACGATAATTTCGAAGAAAAAAATTTATAAAAAAAAAAAAAGTTGGAACAGACCGTCACTCGATGTCTTTGGAACTCATCGCCATCATCGGTTATGATCAAACACTTTCCGGTCTTCCGCGCTCGACTTTACATAATCCAAATACTGTTCGTACTGCCGAACGAAAAGAGCGTTCCTTTCAGTGACTAAATCAACCAAGAGAGCGGCTCGTATGCTCACTGGAAGCCCTTGAACGAATAGAAGAAAAGCGATGGTCCGACTCGGTGTGATCCAATTAGCGACACGCGCTTAAAAGCGGATCCACACTCGGTGCTCTAGCCACCGTATAACACCGTTGCGACACGGCTTATCCTTTCACGGTCGTTTCCGTGTCGATGGGATAGTTATTGCGAGATTTAAGCTTATCGTTATAACGCTCGTTTCGAGACGACGCGGCAGATATTCGACGAGGTAAAAATCATCGCGAAAATTGGAAAAATATGATATCAAATTTCTACCATTGAAGGATCGTCAGAAGAGTAGACAATACCGATAGAACGGTAGAAAGCTTATTCTAACTAGATTACCGGCCGAGGAAACTGACCGAAAATGTCGACACGCGTCTGCCTTCAGCTTGGTCGAGCGTGTGATTTGCTTTCGTCGTGCATCAACGACTGCCCTCTATCGTGATAAGTAATTTTCGGCCGATCAACGAGATCGAGTGGAGACCAATCGCCTTTTTAAAACTATTTTCGTTGTCGAGAAGCGGATTCGATGCTTTGATCAATCAACTGGTTCCCAGTTTACGCCGAGTGTTTCGTTGTGGCGATTTTTAGGTCGTGAAGCGAGGATTTTTGCAGACATTACGCGTACGTATATTTTGACAAAACTTCACTCTACAAGACCAAAAAAATAACACAAAGAAACGCCCCTCAATTCGAGCAATTTTTATATCAACGAAATCATAAAGAATCCTACAATACGATACGAAATTAAACATTCGACGACATTAAATAAATTAACCTCATCTTTGAGGTTAGCAACAAGCAACAAGCAACAATCAACCCGATGAAAGCCTCGTCTCTCTCTACAACCTATATATACATATATATATATATATACACATATCATATCCTACGTCTATTCCTCGAAAGACATCGAAGTGGCGAGCAGCAAAAACGGAAAGAAGGGCTCAGCCAAGGCTCTAAAATATTCGCGGAAGCGTGATCGGTCGCCGTATCAAAGGGAACACTCACTTTCTTCCGGATGCTTGACGGTGGAGAAGCAGCCGTCCGCCGACAAGTAGAGCAACAGCGCCCCGTTAGCGGGCAGCTCCTTGAAGCCGCTCGCGAGGAATACCTGTACCTGGCTGTAGGTCGGCTTGTACAACAGGTACTTGTGCGGATTGTCCCGCCTCGGGGCCCCGTTCTCCGCGCCCGGATACGCCCCGGGCCTGAACGGCATCCTGCCGGCCGGCGACGCGTCGTGAAGGTGATTAGGATCGTCCCTCGGCTCCCTCTCCAGGGTTTGAAGCATCCTGAACATGTCCATCGACAACTCACTAAACTTCACCTGGTCGGCGCAATTGCCAACGATCAGGATCTCCTGCAGGGATAGGCACATGGGTGGCGTACGTTCGATCGGGGGCGAGGTCTGTGGACCCAGCCTGTGGGTAAGTATAACAGGATTCGTGTCCGAGTGCACCATTCCGACGGTCGACTCGGCCTTCACGAACGCCTTGATCTCGTCGAGAACTAAGTTCCACTCGAGTTGATCCTCTGGCTCGTAGGTGCTGGTGTAATCGGCGATCTGGGCGTCGAGCTCTTGGACCAGTTCACGGACGAGCTTCATGCGGTTCAACAGCAGGCAGACGACGATGAAACGGGCGTAGTACCTGAGCTTCTTCACCATCAGGTCGCTTCTGTCCTCCTTGGCAGCGCGGCTGTAGTACGCGCGGCCTCGGATCGCCGCGTAGAATGAGTAGGCCTCGTGAAGGTAGCTGGTCTCGCTGGTGCGAAGGTAATAGTGGTAGTAGAGTTGACCGATCTTGCTCGCGATCTCGCCGATCTGCCACCTCTTCAGGCCGTACTTCGTGTCGAGTATCGTCCTGGAACAACGATATGTGCAAGCGCGCGTGTTGGTGTCACGCGCGCCTTTTATGGTTATTGGTCCGCTGGGCGAACAATATCGTATTAATCACGCTATTACGTTTTACAGCTTTTTCGCGATAACGATGCTTCCTTTCGAAATATCCACGGATACGTCGATGGAAAAAAAAAAAAAAAAAAAAAGAAAAGGGAAAAAAAGGAAACGTGGAACACAGATCAACGATACTTTTGAAACTGGCTGCCGCACGTTTCGAGAAACTTTCCCCTATTGTTTTGTTGGTAACTTGAAAGAGCGTCCCCGATATTTATTAACATTTGACGCGGCACGATCGCGTGTCTACCTATGTACACTATGCATCCACGTGTTACACCACGTATTGCACGTACTACACACCGTACGTGTGTATATATGCGCGCGAGGCGTTGTGAATAGCCGGATAGACAATTGACTCTTTGTCGAGTCGCACCATCAGTCCAGCCGGCCCAACTTGATGACACTTTACGATCAAAAGGGAAAGGGACAAAGGGCCGAAGATTACCGGGCATCCGGTGCAACAGAATCGAAAGAGTAAATAAAGACGTGTGAGCAAAGTGTGTATGTGTGTGTGTGTGTGGAATAAGATTCGAGTGGGAAACAAATTTTGCCAGGTGAGTCGAGTTATATTCCTTGGATTAATTTTTCACGATTTTTAATAATTTTTAAATAATTTACGTTTCTTGGTGTAAAGTAAGGAAAATATTAACGAGTATATATATTAGATGATTTAAAAAGAAAATAATGTTACATTTCGTATTATTCTCGTAGAATTTAAGACTGATGATTTTTCATTGAAGAATAAATCAAGAGAAAGGTCAAAAGATGCCATCAAGATGATACAATTTTAATAGAGATTATTGAATATAATCCACGACAAACGATAAAGGAGACCGTGTTTCAAAGGAGTCTAAGGTATTCTATAATTGTTCACTAGTCACTTGACATAAATAGAAAGAGCAAAGAAAGTGAAGAAATGGATATTGCGCGAGTTTAAACATGTACAGAAATCAAATTGAACGAAGGCAGTTATTTTAAAATAAATTAAAAAAAAATAAATGCCATGGATTATAAAATATCTTGAATTCTTGAATTTATTTCTCCGATTTTTAACTTTTTCAAAAGGATGTTCGAATCAATAAATTATTTTAAAACAATGTGATTACGCGAATCTGCAAAATATATTTTAAATCTACAAATAGCATTAAATAGATTCGGAATAGGTCACACCAAACTTATACAGTCATATCTGATCTCTGAAATCGATTCTCCAATTCATAAAGTGCTTAATTTGCCAAATAACCATGAACCAAATTTTTTTCTAACTACTCGAGAAATCTTGTTCCAAATTCAAAATTCACAGAAACCTTGAATGAAAACTTAGATAACGATAAAAGAAAATACAATAAACATTCTTCTTTTTAAAAAATTAAAAAAAAATAAAACCAAAGAACAATTCTATAATACCAAAATTGTATAAATAGTTTTATAAATTAATGCGTGTAAAAACACAAATAATACATCAATAATGTATCAAGATATCAATCCTCTACAAATCAATCTGTAGATAAAAATAAAACAAAATATTAAATTATTAATACTATACGCTATATATATATATATAAAATTGATTAAAAATAATTGATAAAAACGTAACATGACCTTGTTCTCGATCCGCAAAATATTTAACAATCCATGAAAAATACTCCTATCCCCAAGAGATATCTGCGTGAAGATCAGAGTACGTAAGCGTAACGGTACATATACTATACGCACACGCGTGACCGTGTTCACTCGCGCGCACGATTCTCTCCATTCACGCTCACGTCACATGGTTGGGCCGAGTGCGTAGGTAAAAGGATCGTGCTCGTGGTCCTTCGTGAACGGTGCCACAACCGATCCCGTTATATATTCCCCTGTGTGACGACCACTGTTACGTTTTCCACCTACACGTAGGTGCACGCTTGTTCGTCCGCGCTCGCGACCTGT